ATCAACTTCGAAAGCTCTGGCAGTTCTATTTTGCCTGTTTTACTTGACACTTTCATGATTTGACGCTTTTTAATTAGGTTCTTCGTTTCCTGGGAAAGCTTGCCAGTGTCCTGTCTAACTACCGTGCCTCCAACTTCCACTGCACACTCCGTAATGATACTCGTCAGATTATTATTCATTGTATCTACGCTAAGGTTGGTTTCCTCACTAAGAGCCGAGTACCTGTTCTGCAGCGACACTCTGAATTCCTGTACTTTCCCTCTCAGTGCTAGCTGATTAATTGGCTTCTTGCGTATCAGTTTCTGTCGTTCCTTCTTTAAGTCTAGGCGAATTCGAGACCGTACCATTCTATGGTCACTGCATCGTACCTTGCTAATCACTTCCACATCCTGCACGATTCCTGGGTGTGCACTCATTATAAAGTCTATTTCGTTCTTATTTTCGCCATTAGGGCTCCTCCATGTCCACTTGCGGTTTTCTCGTTTTCGGTAGAAGGTATTCAAAATCCGTAAATTATTGCGTTCTTCAAATTCTACTAGTAGCTCTCCTCTGGCGTTTCTAGTACCGATGCCATAATCTCCTACTGCCTGGTCTCCAGCCTGCTTCTTCCCTACCTTTGCATTAAAGTCGCCCATCACTATAGTATACTGTGTTTTTACCTTACTCATTGCCGATTCCACGTCTTCATAGAAGCTTTCAACTGAAGCGTCATCATGGCTGGATGTAGGCGCGTAAGCCTGTACTACCTTCATCTTGTATCTTTTATTCAGTTTAATTACGATACCTACCACCCTTTCATTAATGCTATAGTATTCCTCTATGTTACCAGCTATGTTTCTGTGAATTAGGAACCCCACTCCCAGTTCTCTTCTGTCTGTCAAGCCTCTGTAGCAAAGGACGTGCCCATTCTGTAGCACCGTATAGGCCTCATCTGTCCTTCTAACCTCACTGAGCCCTATTATATCCCATTTAACACCCTCTAGCTCCTCGAATAGTACAGCTAGACTTCCTTCACTAGATAAGGTTCTAGCGTTAAACGTTGCCAAGTTCAGGTTCCAATGGCGGCCTGTCCGGATCCAGAGATTCTTAGCACCCTCTGCTGCGTTGCAGATCTGACCGCCGCCGTGGTCAGTTGCTTCACAGCTGCTGGGGACTGAGGGCCGTGAGTTATTTGACGTAAGCATGTGGGAGGTCGTGGCCAGATACTACACCAGGGTGGCCAATCCTTCTCTGGTGAGGGTGTGCGTTCTCGGCGGTGTTTGCCGGTGAGGCCGCACCCCAGGCCTCTTAATGCAGTTCCATCAACACGCGGTTTTTTTTTATAATCCGGTTGGGAACTGCGCGGTACCGGGATTTGAACCACGGACCTCTTGCATGCGAGGCGGATGCTCTAACCACTACGCCATCGCCGCCCGTGCACACACATTCGACCAAATACCAATTTGTATTTATGTGCGCTCACAGCTAAAGAAAGAATGAATACAGTGCCACAGCAAACATTCTCCAAAGTGCCCGCCATGAACACATTTTGTTATATTCAGTTTCGGTTTTTACATTGTGTTCTTTCACCCCCAGGGGGCACGTCTGTCCTCTATTTATATATTCGATGTGTTGCGTACAATAAACGTCTTTTTGTACGGTGGTACTGCCGGTGCTTCTTACGTCTTTCGCAAACAACACATTGGCGACGAGGATGGGACAAACACGTCAAGCTACCTTCAGCATCGAGTGTCGTCCGGGTCCGCCCCGCCATGAGTTTCTCCGGCCTTGCTCCGCCGCCGCCGTTCCTCCCGACGCCCGGCCGGCCGTCGCTTCCATGGGAGGAGTGGGCGCAGACTTCAACACTCTACCTTCCAGCGTCCGGAGCAGCTGAGTTCCCACCAGCGTGACGCAAAGCCATTCTTTTGCATTGTTTGGGGGCGGAAGGGCAGCGTGTTTACCGGACTTTACCTGCAGGGTCAAATGCTGCAGCACCAGCAAGCGCCGCAGCACCGGAAGTACAAGAGAAGCCTCCCGCGGCCGCTACTGACGAGTACGAGGCTGCACTCATCGCCTTACGGCAGCAGTTTTTCACGTCGTGTAACGTCGTCGTCGAGCGTCATCGTTTCCACCGCCGCAGCCAACACGCAGGCAAGTCTGTTCATGACTTTCTTGCTGCTTTACGGGAGCTCGTTTCGCATTGTTCGTTCGCTTCACAAGATGATGCTCTGCGGGACTGATTTGTTGCCGGCGTTGTTTCCAACCGCGTACGTGAACGGTTGCTGCTCGAGGGTTCCTCCCTTTCGTTCGAGAACGCAGTGCGGATCGCTCTTCAGTTTGAGCAAGCAGCTGAAGAGCTAAAAGAATTTTCTGCTTCGGTCGAGCCTGTTTCTGTACGGCGTCGTTCCCAGTATTCGCATTCTTCGCGAAAATTCAATTTCCAGCCCAAGGGGCATTTTCAGCAAAACTCTCCAAGCGCTAGCGGTTGGTGTGCCTCGCAGGGGCGCCGCCCCCCTCGGCGAGACAGAGATAGCCGGTCCGTTTCACCACACTGTTTCCGATGCGGCTCGCGGAATCACCGCGCATCAGCGTCACAGTGCCCTGCGCAGGGAAAGAAGTGTTTGTTTTGCGGTATCAAGGGACACTTTCAGAAAGTATGCAACCGCAAGCGTCAAATGCAAGGCAGGATTCGTGAAGTTGGCATCGATGACGATGCTTTGTCAGGGGGAAGTTCTGAGCAAGTTTTGACTGTGCAGCGTCCCGCTCTCAGCGCAATTTACATACAATTACGCGTAACGGATGTCAAGTTGTCATTCCTTGTTGACTCAGGGTCGTCTGTTTCAATTCTATCAGAGCAAGAATTTCACGAGCATTTTCAAAGCGGTTTGCTCCTCCCAGCTCTGCATGTCACTTTGTTTGACTATCCGAAGCGCCCAATTTCCGTGCTAGGCTGTTTCCAGGCAGACGTTCAGTTTAAAGGGCGCTCTGCACCACTTCTTTTCTACATCGTTCGCCAAGGAACTTGTCTGATTGGCCTTGACGGCATTAAGGCCCTAAATCTTCGAATACAGGGCTCCACTCTTGAGTGCCTACACAGGTCCGTTGCCCCGCCGCCGCGTGTTAATGACCCGACAGTTTGTCACATTCCGATGCAGTCAATAGAGCAACCCAGGCAAGCAAACCTTCCGCCAGCCTTGGAACACGACTTCAGTTCACTTTTCAGTCCCGAGTTGGGTCTTGCGAAGCGGTTCACGCATCGTGTCAAGATTCGGCAAGGCGTGCAGCCGGTATCTTCGAAGCTGCGGTGTAGTGCAAAACGGGCACTCAAAGGCAGTTTTTTTTTTCTAAAAAAAAAGAAAAACACTTATGTGAAAGAGGGGCCTTTGTGATAAGTGGAGTGCACATTTAAAGTGCGTGCCTTGAAAAAGTGAGCAACAGGAAAATAATGAAAAACGTGCGGATGGTAGCCGAGGTACAAGAAGACGATGGTGAAGATGTAAAGAGCGGGGGCACGAGGACGCGCGGCGAGGCGTCAGTAAAACAAAGGAGAAGACTTCCGATGGAAAAGAAACACTGATATTTCAAGGACCAATGGCTGGGTACCACTAAAGTGTAGAATCACCAATCAAGACGCGACAAGTGGGCCAGAGCGGAAGGAGGAGCTTGAGAAGAGCAGAGCTGGAGAGTTCTAACCGGACGGGGGCACGGGAAGGTCGACACCAGACCGGGCGCTGAAGATGGGTCGTCGGGCATCGAACCCGAGCCTCCAAGGCTCCAACCGGCCGGGGCCTCCTGTCATCGCGTTCCCGCTCGAGGGGACTGTTTAGCCATCCGGTCCTGAACTCCTGCCCAGGGCCTGCGGACTTCGGTGCTGTGAGGCGAGCAACAGCCATCAGGCTACAGGCCTGAGCTGTGCACGCAACGGCCTGGCCAGGTTGACCCTGGTTCCTCGACACGCCACCAACAGCCAGCGTTTTCTCATCACCGACGTGTCCACTCCTAATGCCAGGGCCACCACGTTCTGGTCTGGTTTCAGGACGCATCGCCAGCTGCAGCGTTCTCTTATCACCGACAAGGCTGTGTCCTGAGGCCGGAGCCACCGTGTTCCGGTTCGCTCATCGTCGCCGGAATTCAGTGTGTGGGTGAGACCGAACTGATATCTAGCGTACCCTGCCACTCACTCGTGTACGAACTGAATAGCATAGTTCCGTTAATTAACCTGTATTTTGGCCTTCGTTTTTCACTGTTTCAGAAAGCTTGCATTGTCGCAGTAATGCAACAGGCTTCTTGCCGCATTTGTGCACGGTCTAAAATTGTGTGGGGCTGTGGCCACAAGCTGCTCTGCACGGTGTGCACGCCAAGTAGGCAAAGCGTTGCATGAAACTAGCCAGTAGACGATTGGCTTCCTGCGACCGTATCGCGTCTCAAAAAACAGTGTCAGTTTTCCCTAAGTAGCAGATCACGGTACACATTATTGCAGACATCCCATTATGTCCAATTCGTTGCTAAGTCAGTCGCTGTGTATCCCGGACTCTGCAGTAGTTTCGGAATGCTCTTAGGTGTCGCCACATTGTGCCATGACGGCCGTGCGAAAATGCCAACCATTGGCTACAAGAAAGAAATGTGTGGTGTTTGCGAAAGACGTAAGAAGCACCGGCAGCACCACCGTACAAAAAGACGTTTATTGTACGCAACACATCGTATATATGAGTACCCTCTGTATAAATCTTGCCCTTTCACAATTTATGTGCCCTTCCTGCAATAATCGCTGTTGGGATTGCCAGTATATGTAAAAAAATAAATAAAATAAAAATATACATAGAGGACAGACGGGCCCCCTGGGGGTGAAAGAACACATAGTAAAAACCGAAACTGAATATAACATACTCCCTCCCTTATATGTAGTGATTAGTTGTTAGCAAGTGTTAGTAAGAAACCCCTATGTATGCACTGTACATTTTACATGTTGTATACACATACATATTTACACTACATACACACTGTGCTATACACACAGGCAACTAGTGGGTCTGATAGTCCTTGAGCCAGACCGGTGGCCGGTGCTCTCGGGACGGCCGATGGGGATGCTGCACGGCCGGAGATGGTAATGAGCTTGTAGAGCTCTGTAGTACGCCAGGAGACCGCGATTGTGGCCCAGGAGAAGGCGGCTGCAGCATGGCAGGCTTCGGTACAGGCAGCTGCGGATCAGGAGCAGGTGACTGCGGTACGGCAGACTGCAGTACGCCAGGAGGCGGTGGCATCGACTCGGGAGAAGGCGGCGGCGGCAGGGCAGGCTGCGGCACTTGAACCGGAAGCTGTGGCGCAGGTAGCTCCGAACGTTGGTATGGTGGACTCGTGCCCCTCTCAGGAACCCGGGAAAGCTTGGAGGCGTTCCATGTGCGGCCGTCTGCAAGTCGGAAAGAGGCAGGTCCCCTCCTCCCCAACACCTCAGTTGGCGAGGAAAAGGAGCGATCCCCCTTGAAGCGAACGGAAGGCTTCTTGATACGAACGAAATCACCCACAGCTATCTTTGGCTGCTTAGCAGCTCTCCTGCGGTCCGTGTACTCCTTACTGCTTTGCTGTTGAAGCCGGACCCTTTGGCGCAGTCGCGCCAGTTCCTTTGCTGGGTCTTTTGCAAACGCTGGTGCCGAAAACCCCACAACATCCAATCTGGTTCGGGGCATTCGCCCATGCAGCAGAACTTCTGGGGCAACTACAGTGGTAGCCTGTGGAGTACAGCGGTAAATAGAGAGGTAGTCCGTAACTGCTTGTCGGACAGGTCTCCTTTCGAGGAGTGAAACCTGGATGAAGTTCTTCAGAGTTCGATTGAACCTCTCGACTTGCCCATTCGCCTGGGGGTAATATACAGACGAATGAGACAGCTTGATGGCTCGGTTTTGAAGAAAGGTTACAAATTCACGTGAAGCGAACTGCGGCCCATTGTCGCAAACAATCTCTTCCGGGTATCCTTCACGGGCAAAAACACTGGTTAAGAAGTCTTTCACGGTGCTTGTGGCCACTTCGCTGCAGAAAGATATCTCTGGCCATTTGGAATGATAATCGACCAGTGTTATAGCAAATTGGCTATTGTGAGATGCATGTTCCAATGGGCCAACAATGTCTAGGCCCAGTTTCTGCCATGGCCTTTCGGGCCATTCAATAGGCTGCAATGGCGCTGGCAATGTTTTGGCAGACTTATCTGCCTCCAGGCAGATGTGACAGTTTTTCACGGCAGATTCAGCTTGCTTGTCCATCCGTGGCCACCAGAATAGCTCACGAAGTCGCGCCATTGTGCGCGTGATGCCGGGATGTGCCTCGTGGGCAACGGCGATGAACTGAGCTGTGAGTGAGGACGGAACAACGAGGCGTTCTGCGCGCTGTAGAAGGTAATAAACAACAGAAAGTTCTTCGCGCACAGAGTAGAAAGGTTTTGCTTTCTACTCTGTGTGAAATGCATGCCAACGCTTCGCGTTCGCCGACCGAGTACTTTCTTTTCGCTGGTGACAAGGTATGAGACGCGAAAGCCACTGTGCGGAGCTCATGGTCATTTTGCTGCTGCAGAACGGCTCCCAGCCCACAGTCAGAAGCGTCGGTCGACACGATGACTGGAAGTTATGGATCGAACATGTGGAGAACTGTACTTGAAGAAAGCATTTCCTTGACCCTCCGGAAACTGCTGTCTGCTTCGACTGACCAGATGAATGGCTCATTCTTGCGAAGCAGAACGCGTATAGGCTCGACCACCTGGGCCAAGCGGGGAACAAACTTCGAATAGTATTCTACAAGACCCAGGAATGAACGGAGGGCAGCAACATCTGTTGGCACTGGAGTGTTAACTACCGAGTCTACTTTCTCCGGAAGCGGCGAGATACCTTGTGCAGTGACCTTATGCCCTAAGAAAGAAAGTTCTGGAACGTCGAAGAGGCATTTGTCGTTCAATTTCAGGCCTGCGTACTTGACTTTCTGCAAGACCTTTGTTAGGTGCAAAAGATGTTCTTCTGCACTTTTTCCCAAAGACTATCACGTCATCAATGTAGAACAACACACCAGGGCAGCCATCCAGAATTGTGGCCATCATCTTCTGAAATGCCGCTGGGGCAGAAGCTAACCCACAGCAAACTCTCTTGAACCGAAAGAGTCCTTCATGTGTGATGAAGGCTGTCAGGTCCCTGCTGTCAGGGTGCAAAAGAACCTGATGGTAGGCAAAAGCCAAGTCAAGTTTTGAGAACTGTGTCGCGCCTACCAAGGCATGAAGGAGTTCCTCTGTATGAGGCAACGGTACAATACCCTTGTTAGGCTCCCGGAGGTCAACACAAATTTTGTTGGTGCCGTCTTTCTTGACAACGACAACAATGGGCGAAACCAATTCAAAAGCATCGATGCGTTCGATGATGTCAAGGCGCAGCAACCTCTGAAGTTCATTTGACACTGGTTCCCGAAGTGAATATGGAAGACGGCGCAGCTTCGAAGATACCTTATATATATATATATATATATATATATATATATATATATATACGGAAGAAGACAAATCTCTTTCTGATGAAGGCCAGACCCGCGGCCGAAACATAAATAAAGTAACTTCGTACGTGCGTCTTCTTCCCTATACGGATAAATAATCTTACCCGGACCCAGCATCACTTTTGTTTTAGGTATATATATATATATATATATATATATATATATATATATATATATATATATATATATATATATATATATTGTGATGCAACGGTGAAGATAACTTTTACTGGGCCCAGAAGACACGATGAAGCGACCACACCCAAGGCACAGGACTCAGGCAAGCCAAATCCCCACAGCAGATGAAGAGGACGACCACTCATGATAACGAACATCTGTAAAGATAGTAGATGTGCCTAATGAATGCCTACACTAGCTCCTCCCCCCCCTCACGTGAAATCGGTCATCCCGACCGCAGTTCTTGGCCGCCGTTATGCGCAAAAGTGCGCATAACGCGCGAAAGGGACAAATGACAAAATGGTGTCCAAGTTTCTGTGGTCCGATTCGATATACATCACTATCATATCTGACAGTGTACGATGAAAGTGCTCAGTCGGGCCATTCCTCCGAGGATGGTAACTGGAGCTTGTTTTGTGTGTAGTGCCGGATGCCTTGAGCGCTTCTTCGACGAGTTCTGAAAGAAATGCTCTTCCACCGTCGCTCAGGATTACACGAGGAGCTCCGTAACGAAAGATTATTGCTCAAAGGATGATGTCAGCCACTTCCGAAGCTGATGCAGAAGGCATGGGAGCTGTTTCGGCTTAGTGGGTCAGGTGGTTGACAGCTGTAACTATCCATCGATTGCCCGTGACAGTCATAGTAAGCGGACCATACAGGTCCATACCAACTACCCCAAATAGTTGCAGGGGACACGGGAGCGGTTGTAATTGTCCACTTCGAGCTGATGTGGCTAGCTTAAGACGCTGACAAAGGGTGCATGAGGCAACGTACTTCGCGACACAGGTGGTCAAGCCCGGCCAGTAGTAGTGACATCTTATGCGATCTTAAGTTTTCTGGAAGCCCATGTGTCCAGCAGACATGTCGTTGTGATATGTCTTGAGGACTTGGGCCCGAAGAGAGCGAGGTAGAACGGGCACCCAGTGTTGACTATCAGGGTGGTAGATATGATGGTACAGGACGTGGTTGTTGAGCTTGAATCGCGTCAGCTGTCGGCGAAGATGGGCGTTAGGGGGCCGGCAAGTCCCGTCAAGACGGTCCATGATGCGGCGACAGTAAGGGTCAGCACGTCGGTGAGATAAGAACAAAGCACACTCGCTTGAAGAAGTTGGGTCCACAGTAGCTAAAGATGCAACATGTAGGAAAGAGACGGTTGAAAGCTCCTCGAGTGCGGCAGTAGCGGGTTTGTTAAGTGGCTCCAAAGAGAGCGGGCAACGCGAAAGTGCATCGGCGTCTTGATGTTTGTTTCCCGACTTGCATGTAATCGTGAAGTCGTATTCTTGTAAGTGAAGAATCCAGCGACCAAGGCGGCTGGACAAGTTCTTGATTGTCGAGAGCCAGCACAAGGTGTGATGATCCGTAACCACCGTAAAGTGGCGGCCGTGGAGATAAGGTCGAAACTTTTGTATCGACCATACGACCGCTAGGCACTCCTGTTCGGTGATGGTATAATTCTTTTTGGGAAGGGTCTGTGCACGACTCGCGTGTGCGACGACCTTCTCACTTGAAGATTCGTCTCGCTGTAGGAGAACACGAGTGTTGAAGATTGGGCGAGTTGGTTCGTCGTACTTGAACTGATATAGCGCATTACGGAGAAGAAGAAACGACCGAGCAGACCGACACAAGAGGACAGAGTGCTAACTTGACCAGTTAGCGCTCTGTCCCCTTGTGTCGGTCTGCTCGGCCGTTTCTTCTTCCCCGTAATGCGCTATACCAGTTCAAGCTGTAGGAGAATTTCACGAATGCCTTGACCACAAGCGTCTGTATGCAGGAGCGTAGGCGCGGTTTCGTCTAAATGGCAGAGGACTGGTTCAGATGTGAGTGCACACTTCAGTTGGGCAAACGCCGCTTCACATTCAGGAGATCACACAAAGGTGACGCCTTATCCGAGCAACTTGTGCAATGAAGCTATTGAGGTGAAGTCTCGAATGAATCGGCGAAAATAAGACGCGAGGCCGAGGAAACTGCGCAAATATTTGGCTTTTTCAGGACGCGGGAAGTGTTGGACAGCAGAAATCTTGTCGAGATCGGGACGAATACCGTTCTCGCTTGCGATGTGGCCCAACACTTTAATTGTCTTGCTCGCGAAATGGCACTTCTTGGTGTTCAGCTGAAGGCCTGCGTTTGCAAGGCACGTGAGAACTTCTTCGAGTCGTTGCAAGTGCTGAGAGAAAGTTGACGAGAAAATAACGATATTGTCTAAATAGCACAACCAAGTCTTCCACTTCAAGCCTCGTAAAACTGTGTCGATCATCCACTCGATCGTTGCTGGAGCATTGCAAAGGCCGAATGGCGTGACGTTGAATTCGTACAGCCCATCTGGTGTCTTTGTCATCCTCGTGCATGGGTATTTGCCAGTAACCCGAATGCAGGTCTAGGCTTGAGAAGTACTCGGCATCTTGCAGTGAATACAAAGCATTGTCTATGTGCGGTATGGGGTAAACATCTTTGTGGGTAATCTTATTGAGTGCTCTGTAGTCCACGCAAAATCGCACGGAGTCATCTTTTTTCCTTACTAAAACAACAGGGGATGACCAAGGACTCGCGGAGGGATGAATAATGTCCCGTTGCAGCATATCCGCTACATTTTGTTCAATTACCTTACGCTCAAACGAAGAGACGCGATATGGTCGACGACGTACGATGGAAGTGCCATCGGTCTGGACACGATGCCTAATAATGGATGTCTGTCTCAGAGATGAGGAATGGGCATCGAACAATCTCCTATGCTTTTGTAGCAAGGCAAGCAACTCATCTGTCTGTGAAGAGGTAAGCTCTGGACTAATAGTCACAGCAAGAACAGAAACGCTTGATGAACGTCCAACAGAAGGAAGGTCAAAACACGCTGGCGTAAGCGGGTCAACAGAGACAGGTTGGGATTCGGTAAAGCAAGCCATTGTGGCGCATTTAGGAATAAGAATTTTCTCAGACGTCTGGTTTGTAGCGAATAGAAGTCTGGAGCCATTGTGTAACCGCGCTTGACCTGAAGCAAGGGCTACACCTCTTGCGAGACAGCGTGCAGATGGTTGGACAAACACGTCACCTGAGTCGATCACATTAGAAGTGATGGTAACTATTCGCTGATGACCAGGTGGTGGCTCGGTATCTTCCGCAGCGGGCAAGCGAACGGTCTTGTCATCCGCGTAAAGGGAATGGTCAGTTTCCATCATATGAAGAACATTTTCTCCACAGCAGATGGAAGCATTCGCCGTAGACAGAAAATCCCAGCCTAATATAAGCTCGTGCGCACACGAACTCAGCATGGCAAATTGCACAAAATGAAGAAGACCAGCTATGAAAACATGGGCGGTGCATATTGCGGCAGGTCTAATAACGTCCCCTTGAGCAGCGAGCAGTGTAGCTCCATCATAATGGGTGGTGACTTTTCGCAGACGTAAGCACAAGGAACGATCAATCACAGACAAACAAGCATCAGTGTCTACTGAAGCGTCCACGTACACACCTTCTAATAAAACAGATAGCGTATTATATGTACGCACTGGAGAAACTTCTGTCTTTTCGTTCGATGCAGTTTTTCCTCCAAAAGCTGCAGAGGTTAGTTTTCGGGGCGTTGGTTGGTGAATTGCGAGAC